TGGGTGTGATAGTGGTGGTGGTGGTGATGGTGGTAGTGAGGGGAGAGGGGGGGGGGGGTGATAGTGGTGGTGGTGGTGGTGATGGTGGTAGTGAGGGAGGGGGGGGTGATAGTGGTGGTGGTGGTGATGGTGGTATTGAGGGAGGGGGGGGTGATAGTGGTGGTGGTGGTGGTGGTAGTGAGGGAGGGGGGTGATAGTGGTGGTGGTGGTGGTGGTGGTGGTAGTGAGGGAGGGGGGTGATAGTAGTGGTGGTGGTGGTGGTGGTGGTGATGGTGGTAGTGAGGGAGGGGGGTGATAGTGGTGGTGGTGGTGGTGGTGATGGTGGTAGTGAGGGGAGGGGGTGATAGTGGTGTGGTGGTGGTGGTGGTGGTGGTAGTGAGGGAGGGGGGTGATAGTGGTGGTGGTGGTGGTGGTGATGGTGGTAGTGAGGGAGGGGGGGGTGATAGTGGTGGTGGGTGGTGGTGGTGATGGTGGTAGTGAGGGAGGGGGGTGATAGTGGTGGTGGTGGTGGTGGTGGTAGTGATAGTGGTAGTGAGGGAGGGGGGGGGGGTGATAGTGGTGGTGGTGGTGGTGGTGGTGTAGTGAGGGAGGGGGGTGGGTGATAGTGGTGGTGGTGGTGGTGGTGGTAGTGAGGGAGGGGGGTGATAGTGGTGGTGGTGGTGGTGGTGATGGTGGCAGTGAGGGAGGGGGGTGATAGTGGTGGTGGTGGTGGTGGTGGTGGTGATGGTGGTAGTGAGGGAGGGAGGGGGGTGATAGTGGTGGTGGTGGTGATGGTGGTAGTGAGGGAGGGGGGTGATAGTGGTGGTGGTGGTGGTGGTAGTGAGGGAGGGGGGTGATAGTGGTGGTGGTGGTGGTGGTGATGGTGGTAGTGAGGGAGGGGGGTGATAGTGGTGGTGGTGGTGATGGTGGTAGTGAGGGAGGGGGGTGATAGTGGATAGTGGTGGTGGTGGTGGTAGTGAGGGAGGGGGTGATAGTGGTGGTGGTGGTGGTGATGTGGTAGTGAGGGGGGGGGTGATAGTGGTGGTGGTGGTGGGTAGTGGGGGGGGGGGGTGATAGTGGTGGTGGTGGGGGTAGTGAGGGAGGGGGGTGATAGTGGTGGTGGTGGTGGTAGTGAGGGAGGGGGGTGATAGTGGTGGTGGTGGTACTCAACTATCAGTCCTTACCTATCCGTGACTACGGGGACGTGAGGAGCTAGCAGCTCTTCATGGCCTCTACCTGTTGCGTTGTAATGTAACTATTTTGACTTTCCAATTCTTTGTTGAATGCGGAAGTTGAGGACGGAGGTGGCTTCCCGAACTTCCTCTTTGAGTGCACTCCACGTGTTGACCTCCAGGGTCATGGTCGTGTCATGGTCGTCATAAAACTTTGTACTTTCAGTTTTGGCTTAATGTTTGACAAGGTGTAAGTACCAGGCCGGTGCTGCATGTTCCAATATTGGTCTAACGAAGGTTGGGTAGTTAGCCTTGATAGGGCTCTAGTTTAGCGTTCAAACGACGTTCTCATTTTTTTTCCAGCATCTCATATGCTGCCGATATTACTCTGTTTATGTGTGCCTCGACCAGGGATAGTGTTGGGACTACATCCACTTCCAAATCCTATCCTCACTCTCTCTCTCTCTCTCTCTCTCTCTCTCTCTCTCTCTCTCTCTCTCTCACTCTCACTCTCTCTCTCTCTCTCTCTCTCTCTCTCTCTCTCTCTCTCTCTCTCTCTCTCTCTCTCTCTCTCTCTCTCTCTCTCTCTCTCTCTCTCTCTCTCTCTCTCTCTCTCTCTGTCTTAGTCTCTCTCTCTCTCTCTCTCTCTCACTCTCTCTCTCTCTCTCTCTCTCTCTCTCTCTCTCTCTCTCTCTCTCTCTCTCTCTCTCTCTCTCTCTCTCTCTCTCTCTCTCTCTCCGAGTCCTGTAGTTGTCTTCCTTCTTGTGGTGTCGATACCGCCTGGTCTTTTTTTTCTCCTTTCCCAGCTTCATTACCTTACACTTGTTAGAGTTGAATTTTAACAACCCTTTATTGTCCAGCAACCCCCCCCCCCGCCCACCTGCACCTTACTCCACCACACCATCACCTCTACTCCCTCCTCGTCCCGATCCACTCCTCATTCATCCATTTACCCATTCTTCAGAATTCACCCCATCGTCACTACCTCGGCACCAACCATTGTTTGTACCCACCTATGGTTACCCACACCTGTCTTCCCAAACTCTTAATCTACTCTTGAACCTTAACCACCTTGGGCCAGATTCACGAAGCACTTACGAAAGTACTTACGAACGTGTACATCTTTCCTCAATCTTTGACGGCTTTGGTTACATTAATTAAACAGTTTACAAGCATGAAAACTTCCCCATCAACTGTTGTTATTGTTATAAACAGCCTCCTGGTGCTTCGTAGCTCATTAACTGTTTAATAATTGTAAACAAAGCCGCGAAAGATTGAGAAAAGATGTACAGGTTCGTAAGTACTTACGTAACTGCTTCGTGAATCTGGCACCTGATCTCCGCCCTTACTGACACAGCATTATGTGTAGTTGATCTTACCACGCAACACATCTGGCCAACTATTTACCATTGTAGCATGGTTGGGCTATCGTTAGAGCTAGGAGCACTTCGTCCTAATTGGGAATTTTTGACTAACCACAAATAATTCAATTTGCATAATTCATTGACTATAGTCTCCAGCCATAATTGACCTCCAACCACCATGTTGTCACCGTGGTTGTTAGACTTAGAATAAGACTCGCTGGAACCCATCGACCTGCTGGACATGGTGGTTCCGCAGCTCTGGCGTCATGTTGAAAGTTCATCTGCTGACATAATCCTCTCCGGCAATAGTGCAATAATCCTGCTTTCCTCGGAAGCAGGATTATTGCTAGTAGCTAGTAGATGCTAGTAGCTAGTAGCTAGTAGATGCTAGTAGACCCAGCCACACGGGCTGCACTACTAGCATCTCATGCTATTCCTGCAGAAAAGTGCCAAGCTGAAGTAACTGTGTTTGTGAGAAGATTACATCTCCTGACCTCCTGCCATGATGATGCTGACATTCTTACACACATTAATGAAACAAACCCCTACTGTCCATGCACTTACAGGTCATAGATTGACTGAAGAAGACACCTCACGCCCCACGCCCAACCTCACACACATGGACCAAGCTACCCAGGTGCTTCACAAGGGATTTAAATGCTTTGGGTTCAGGTCGGCACCCGACCAAATAACAAGTAACAAGTTCGTTGAAGTTAAGCAATATTTTCAGTGTTTCCTGATGACATTCAAGTTTTCACTACAATTGCAAACAGAGGTGCGAAGGGTGACCTTGTCTTATTCATCCAGATAATTAACAGTCTGTTGACAGTCAACAACTACAAGAATGTTATTGTTCGTGATGAAGTGATAACAGGCATCACATCTCCACACCCACTAACATAAGAGGCATCACACACAGAGATCACACTAACGTGATACATCAAATGAACAAATCCTCGTCATGGCCCTTGTGGATTTGTTCATAAGAGGCATGATCAACCCCAGCCCAAGCTGGCATAACCCTGGCCATGCACACCCAAACAACCCCACCTCCAGTTGGCTCCACACAAGCATTTTTTTTTATTATTAATACATTGGGTTCATGTGCATTTGAGCAGCTGCCCTAGACTAAATGAAGGCAAATACAATGTGTCAAAAAAGCTAGCTACGTGGTGCTAAAAAATTTCCATCACACAGGATGGTTAGTCATACAGAGGCATGTGATAAGCAGTCTGCACTGGCAGACTCCGAGTGCATTATGAGGATATCATCAACACAAGAGTGATTAAGGCAGCAGTGATACGAAGAGTCCCCATCTCACAGGATGGTTAGTCATACAGGGCCATATGTTTAGTAGCCTGCACTGGCAAATTTTGGGTATACTGTGAGGATATCTTTAAGAACACGAGAGTGAATAAAGTAATTACAAAGCTCCAGGTACCTCATGCCAACTGGTCTGAAAGGTCTAATAACTGGGCATTCAGTGATGTAGTGTGAGAGATCATGCCGCAGTTCCTGCTCACAGAGTACACCTGGAGTGCTCAGGATTAGGAGATCCGTCACCTGTAGCCACCTGCCACAGGTAAAGGTAACCCAACCTGGTCCTGGCAACCACTGTGTCGCACAGTCTGGTCCACGTTTTGTGCTGCCCATAGATACAGGTTTCAGATCTGAACAAATCATAGCTTTATATACAAGTGCTTTCACGTCGTTGGGAGTCAGTAACTATACCCAATCACAAACAAGGCCAGTCTAGGCTGCCACAACTCCACATACCCACCATAAACAATATCAGGTCAAGTAGGTATTCAGAGAGACTCCCAAGGCCAAGGAACCCATGAAGACACAGTGTAAGAATCCCCTCTTCTAACCCTCTGAACTGAACCCTCTCCCTCACTAGAGTGCAACTCCTTCCCTCACTAAAGCTGAACCTTCTCCCTCATTAAAGCTGAACCCTATCCCTCACAAGTACACTCTCCCTCACTAAAGTTGAACCCTCCCACTCGCTAAAATAGAACCCTCTGGCTGATTTCATGGTTGAGTGTATTCTACCAAGAAGTAACTTGTCAGTGCGTTCAGTTTTCAATTCCGCTACCTAGCTCCAGCTAAGCGTTCAAACAAGGTAGCTCTAGCTAGGTGGTATAGCTAGCTAGCTATAGCTAGGTGATCAAGCAAGCTAGGTCTAGGTGGTGAGCTAGCTAGCACTAGGTGGTGAAGGACACTAGCTAGATCTAAGCTACGTCTAACTTGAAAGGAACTTGAAACTTAAAAGGTTAAACTTGTTCTAATTGCTTATGACTTGGATTGTATCATAGATCGGTGCCTTATCCCACCGTGCCGTGCTGCTGAAGCGTGCAGCAAGGCTGGTGTGATGAGTCCCGGTATAGGTATTATTAGCGGTGCTGCTGCTGTCATGGTCGGTATTGTCACTACTGCTCTTAGTTTACTGTAACTGTTGGCTGACGGTATTACAGCTGCTTCAGTCTCACTGCTGGCAGTGCCAACACTTTCCCCACATGTTGTTGTCATTGTTAATGCAATCATTATACCTGATATTTCGACTTGAATTTCTGCTGGTGCTACTGCTGCCCATGCTTTTGTTGCTGTTGCTGTTGCTACTGCTGCCTTCACTGTCGTTGTTACTGCTGCCCTCACTGTCATTGTTACTGCTGCCCTCACTGTCGTTGTTACTGCTGCCCTCACTGTCGTTGTTACTGCTGCTCTCACTGTCGTTGTTACTGCTGCCCTCACTGTCGTTGTTACTGCTGCCCTCACTGTCATTGTTACTGCTGCCCTCACTGTCGTTGTTACTGCTGCCCTCACTGTCGTTGTTACTGCTGCCCTCACTGTCGTTGTTACTGCTGCCCTCACTGTCGTTGTTACTGCTGCCCTCACTGTCGTTGTTACTGCTGCCCTCACTGTCGTTGTTACTGCTGCCCTCACTGTCGTTGTTACTGCTGCCCTCACTGTCGTTGTTACTGCTGCCCTCACTGTCATTGTTACTGCTGCCCTCACTGTCGTTGTTACTGCTGCCCTCACTGTCGTTGTTACTGCTGCCCTCACTGTCGTTGTTACTGCTGCCCTCACTGTCGTTGTTACTGCTGCCCTCACTGTCGTTGTTACTGCTGCCCTCACTGTCGTTGTTACTGCTGCCCTCACTGTCGTTGTTACTGCTGCCCTCACTGTCGTTGTTACTGCTGCCCTCACTGTCGTTGTTACTGCTGCCCTCACCGCTGTTGCAGACACCAGTACCAGTGCCCGTTGCTGTCAGCAGTGTTAGTGTTGCTTCAGCAAGTGTCATTCCCCGACATGTGCAAGGCTCAGAATTGATTATTCTGTGCCCTGACATCCCGTCTCGGCCTCTCTATTAGCGTGTTTGTCTGACTGTCTCTCTCTCTGCGTGTCTACTGGCCTGCCTGTTACAATGTCTGTATGTTCGTTACCTTGCGTTGGTTTCGAGGATCAACGTCCCCCGCGGCCCGGTCTTGGACTAGGCCTCCTGGTTGGTGGTCTGGTCAAACCAGGCTGTTATTCGCAGCTGCTCGCAGCCTGACACGTGAATCACAGCCCGATTAATGAGGCATCTTTTGGAGATGTTTATCGAGTTTTCTTTTGAACACAGAGAACGGACAATTATGTGCCTTTGTTTGGAGGGAGACTGTTGAAAATCTTCGAATCTTGATATTGACAGAATTCTCTTTCATCGTACTTATTGCACCAATGCTTTTCAACAGGGCTGTTTTGCACATCCTGCCATGCCTCTTGGTCTCATGCGGTGTCATTTGCGTGCTCAGATTTGGAACTAATCTCTCAAACGATTTCCAAATTTAAATTATTATATATCGCTTGCGCTTTAGGGAATACAGATTTAAATTTTTTTAAGCGGTCCCAATAATTTAGACGTTTTGTTGAGTAGATTCGGATAGTAAAAGATCTTTGCATGTTCTCCATGTCAGCAATTTCTCCAGCTGTGGATGGAGCTATTAATGTGCAACAGTATTCCATCCTAGAGAGCACTAATGGCTTGACAATATCATTATTGGTCCGGCATCTCTTGTTTGTAAGGTTCTTGCTATCCAACCTCTCATTTTCTTGCAGTTGAGACAGGTATTTTATTGTGTTCTCTAAAGGTAAAGTCTTCCGAAATGATTATTCTCAAGTCATTCATAATGCCTTTACGTTTTATAGTGTGAATTGGCTGCGTTTTATATGTGGTTTCCGTTTTGATATTTTCTTTCTTCCGTTGGGCAGGAGCTGGAACTATTAGGAACTATTAGGAACTATTAGGAACTATTAGGAACTATTAGGAACTATTAGGAACTCTTCATTAAACACAATGTTACTTTCTCTGGCCCATTGAAAGATCTGATTTACATCAGTTATCAGTTTGGTGGTTTGCTGTGTCTTCTGTAGTGTCTACTCTCATAAAACCACCTTCCTCACCCTTCACTGGTATTTAGCGAGATTGGAAATTAGTGCAATTTGCCATTTCATGTAAAGGGGGGGGGATGGGGAAGGGAGGGGGGGGTCATGGGGCTTCGATCTCCACCCACCTATGAACATCCTTGCACAGAGACTAGTCACCTTGCAAAGTTTTGGAAGGCTCTCCCAAAGCGTCTCGACCCCATCATTGATCAAACAGACATTCTCTTTTACAGACATATCTATATATATATATATATATATATATATATATATATATATATATATATATATGTGTGTGTGTGTGTGTGTGTGTGTGTGTGTGTGTGTGTGTGTGTGTGTGTGTGTGTGTGTGTGTGTGGTATATACGTATTTACTGCTAGGTAAATAGAGGCATCAGATGAAAGGAAACATGCCCAACCTTTTCTGCCCTGCTCGGGGATCGAACCTGGGATGCCCGATTGTGAGTGGAGAACGTAGTCGTATCCCACTGCCATTAACACCTGTAACGGTTGGTACTACAGCTGCAACAGTTAATTGCCACAGTTACAACGGCTACAACAGCTGCAACGGTTGCTACAGTTGTGCACGTGCAGCTGTGAGTTACGCAGCTGCTGCTGCTGCTGCCTCTGCTGCTGTAAATATTATCATTGTTGATTTGCTGTTAAAGCTTGACACACTACTGCTGCAGGTGTTAGTGCTGCTGCAGGTATTAGTGCTGCTGCTGCAGGTGTTACATCCATCCTAACTCCCCAACATACAGAGTAGGTACGTATATGTATCTCCCCCCCCCACCCACACACCCACCCACACGGAGAAGGGTTGGAGATGTGTAAGAAAGGGCAAGAGGGGGAAAAGAGGGGGGGAAGAGGGGGGGGAGAGGGGGGGGAGAAGGGGGGTAGAGCTGCAAGACATACAAAGCGACCCCCCTCCCCCTCCCCCCCCCAGGTTATTGCACCAATAGATCAGTTTAGTGTCGTTTAACTCCGTTACTCTCGCGGACGTCTGCGAGGATCACGCTAACTCCTCAAGACGAACGGCCAGACCGACTCTTAACAAGGCAACTGAACAAAAGAAACCGAAATGTAACGCAAAATGCGTAAAAAAAGCAATTAAACAAAATATAACAAAATCAGACCTAAATTAAAAATCTATGTATGTTAATAAATGAATTTCTATGTTAGCTAAAAAACATTAACATATACAAATCCGAATTATATTTATTCATTAAAGGAAAAATGACAATTAAAAAAAAATTAAAAAAAACTATATCAGAAAAAAAAAAAAAATTATATCAGAAACTTAAACATAGACACAATAAAAGATAAAGATGTATGCGCAAGAAATGAATAATACCAAAAATACTTAATAACAAACTTCAAAGACGACGACAATTAGTGTATGAACAACTGAGTCGACGACCCTCAACTGTTCAACTCGGGTTTCATTCTAAAGATCGAGATACTCTCTAAAATGTTAAGTTCAAGGCGAGGGGAGGGAGGGAATTATCAGGGGGGGGGGGGGGAAAGGTGCCAAGCCATTATGACTATATAGCACTGAGAAGGGGTCAGGATAAGGAGTTGGGATGGGACGGTGGGGTAAGGAATGGTGCCCAACCACTTGTGGACGGTCGGGGATTGAACGCCGACCTGCATCAAGCGAGGCCGGTGTAGATTAAAGGGTGGCCTTTATTCTCACTGTGATTAATAGCTGTGATTAATAACACACACACACACACACACACACACACACACACACACACACACACACACACACACACACACACACACACACACACACACACACACAAGACTCGACCTAGTCTTCACTCTGAACGACTCCGACATAAGAGAAATCGGTTTTGAGGACCCAGTAGGAATGAGCGACCACAGTGTACTGGTGTTTGAGTACTTGATTGAAGAAGGGTTATTGAACTCGAGGAGGGATACCGAAACCAAAAGGTTAGCATACCGAAAGGGAAACTATGAGGGGATAAGAAAATGCCTAACAGATATAGCATGGGAAACAGAGCTCAGGGGAAAGACGGCCCAAGATATGATGGATTACATCACGCAGAAGTGCAAGGACGCAGCGAACAAGTTTGTCCCAGTCCAAAAGGAAAACAGAGAAATGAAGATGAGAAACCCATGGTTTAATCAAAGATGTAGGCTAGCTAAGCAGCAAAGTAAAAGGGCATGGAGAAACTATAGGAATAACAGGACACTGGAGAGCAGAGAAAGATACCAGAATGCCAGGAATGAATATGTCAGGATGAGAAGAGAGGCAGAAAGACAATACGAAAATTACATCGCAAGCAAGGCAAAGACTCAGCCTAAATTGTTGCATAGCCACATTAGGAGAAAAACAACAGTAAAGGAACAGGTTATGAGATTAAGGATAGGGGCGGAAGGATTCACTACAAATGACAAGGAAGTGTGTGAGGAATTGAATAAGAAATTCCAGGAGGTCTTCACCTTAGAACAAGGAGAAATTCCAGAGGTAAGTGAGGGAATAGCTAACCAGAAACCACTGGAAGAGTTTGAGATTACCAGGGGGGAAGTAAGGAAGTGTTTACTAGAGTTGGACGTGACAAAGGCTATAGGCCCAGATGGAATCTCCCCTTGGGTTCTAAAGGAAGGAGCAAGAGAACTGAGCCTACCACTCTCCATAGTGTATAACAAATCACTGGCAACAGGGGAACTGCCAGATATTTGGAAAGCAGCTAACGTAGTCCCGATATACAAGAAAGGGGATAGACAGGAGGCACTGAACTACAGGCCAGTGTCCCTAACCTGCATACCATGCAAGCTGATGGAGAAGATTGTGCGAAAAAAACTAGTGGAGCATCTGGAGCGAAGGAACTTTGTAACACAGCATCAACATGGGTTCAGGGATGGCAGGTCCTGCCTCACAGGGTTACTTGAATTCTACGACCAGGCAACAAAAATAAGGCAAGAAAGAGAAGGGTGGGCAGACTGCATATTTTTGGATTGTCAGAAAGCCTTTGATACAGTGCCACACAAGAGGCTAGTGCGAAAGTTGGAGATGCAGGCTGGAGTGAGAGGGAAGGTACTCCGGTGGATAGAGGAATACCTAAGCAACAGGAGACAGCGAGTCTGTGTGAGGGGGTGAGGTCTCAGATTGGCGAGACGTCACAAGTGGAGTCCCGCAGGGGTCAGTCCTTGGACCTATACTGTTTCTGGTATATGTAAATGATCTCCCAGAGGGTATAGATTCGTTCCTCTCAATGTTTGCCGACGATGCAAAAATTATGAGGAGGATTGAAACAGAGGATGATAGTAGGAGGCTACAAGATGACCTGGATAGACTGAGTGAATGGTCCAACAAATGGCTGTTGAAGTTCAACCCGAGTAAATGCAAAGTAATGAAACTAGGAAGTGGAAACAGGAGGCCAGGCACAGGATACAGAATAGGAGATGAAGTACTTAATGAAACAGACAGAGAGAAAGATCTAGGAGTTGATATCACACCAAACCTGTCTCCTGAAGCCCACATAAAGAGAATAACGTCTGCGGCATATGCGAGGCTGGCTAACATCAGAACGGCGTTCAGGAACCTGTGTAAGGAATCATTCAGAATCTTGTACACCACATATGTAAGACCAATCCTGGAGTATGCGGCCCCAGCATGGAGCCCGTACCTTGTCAAGCACAAGACGAAGCTGGAAAAAGTCCAAAGGTATGCTACTAGACTAGTCCCAGAACTAAGAGGCATGAGTTATGAGGAAAGGCTGCGGGAAATGCACCTCACGACACTGGAAGACAGAAGAGTAAGGGGTGACATGATCACAACCTACAAAATCCTCAGGGGAATCGACCGGGTAAACAAGGATGAACTATTCAACACTGGTGGGACGCGAACAAGGGGACACAGGTGGAAGCTGAGTACCCAAATGAGCCACAGAGACGTTAGAAAGAACTTTTTCAGTGTCAGAGTAGTTAGT